TTTATTTCTTACCAACAATCCTGCAAAAACTGTACTGTGAATAGCTGCTCCAACCAAACCGATTTCAAAAACACTTACAGAAAATCCTTTCAGCTTGCCTGAGCTGGCTTTTTGAGTAATCTTTCCAAATGGTTAAACCTTTCAAAACCGTATACTTACCATACTGATTTGGGAGCAATGAAAGACAATTAAAAAAAAGAAATGAAAGAAAGAAACCAGTTTGGCTAGAGCTGGTCTATCAGAACCTGCTTATTGTAATGCTTAATGCATCTCAAGAAGTTAGCCGGCTTTGGGCTCCATTCAAATGCAACAAAAAGCAACAAGAATCCGAAGTGAAATTATGAAACTAGCTTACCATGCAGTGCAAAAGCAAGCTCAAGGGTCACATACATACATTTCTCAAAAACACAAATACACATTTTAAGTCAGTGTGAAAGGTTGAGCCTTTTGAACTTTGATATGTGCAAAGCTAGATAAGAGGTGTGCCTGGTCTTAAAGTGAAGGTGCAGCTGATCATCTGCGATGGCCTCATCGGTCACAGTGAGTGAACCCCAGATACCCTGTGAAGAAAACACATTTTCCCTCACTGCACATACTGCTGCTTGTCCTCACTCGGGCTGCAATTCATTTGCATCTTACACTCCCCGGTTTCCTTCAGTCTTCAATCACCTTTTACCCCATCACATAAAGGACTATGTGTGAACTCCTTTACCCGAGTTGGGACTGAAAAAACTACCAATAAAATATGTAAGCAAGAAAAAACATGCACGTTTTGAAAGGCACGAGGAATGCCAACAGTTCAAAACTTGCATTCGAGCCTTAACAGAGAGCAGCGACGATCCTAGACAATAAAATCCACTGGGAACTCATCCGCACTAAATCTGCAGTGCACTCGCTTCCGTCCTGCTAAACAAGGACACGTTTTAATGGATTATTAACGGTCTGATGCGAATAAGTCTGAAATTGACATTAACTGTGTTTAATTGTTCATTTATGATAACAAAACATGTTACTGTATGCGATCAAGTTAATTGCATATGCTATGAATTATAGAGCCGTAAAATGCTTTCAAAGCTCAAAACAATATTTAAGGAATGTTTTCTCGATGGCCATGAGTAAATATGCCCCCCTCAATTCGGAAAAGGCTTGACATTGAAAGGGTAACTTTGTTATTTTTCAACCTCTATCCCATTTCCCTGTACTGTGTGACTAATAGAGAAAACCATTTCAGAACATCCGTTCAGTATGGAAAATGAGCACTGTAAAGGTTGCTCACAAGCTTTAATGGAATCCTTTTAGGCAAGGTGGCATTGTCATTGCATCCTGTTTTTGCAATTGACGTGCTCCGATTGTTATTTCAAGTGACGAACATTAAGGAAAAAGTGAGAAGTTCCAAAATCCCTCCAGGTGACGTGTTGACGGACGACAATTGTGGCCAGACAGAGTTTCTAATGTGGTTGAATTCTCTGAATTGTTGGCCACTCGTTTTCGTTGAGACAGACACGGATGAAATGCTCCTACAGAGTAGCAAAGAGGAGAAAGAGAGAGGAGGGTGAACCGGGTGGTGTTAGGCGGCGTAACTCGGGGGTACGGTGGTGTTCCTGTAGGTGCTGTGACGATAACGCCCACAGAGGACGAATGCAGTTAAGAGTGGGATCTGTTGCTGCCCAATGTATTGCCTTCAGGAGACTTGTGAAAGACTTAAGGAACAACAAAAAGACCTGCTCAAACAAAAAGATAAGGAGGGAAAAAAGCTGAATCCGTCTATGAAGGAAATTTTCATAATGTTGTAAAACCCTTAATAACCATCTGAGACTGTAAGCGGCAAAAAGAATCAATTCCAGTTCCAATTTTCACAGGATAACAGTCAGCCTGAGTCCAAAGGTCACTTCGCAATCTGCAGCTCAGCATGCAGCTTTGTGAACAGTTTCAGCTTATCAAACTTTGTGTTCAGAATCATAGGAATAATTAACTATGGCTCTTTGTTTTTGAGTGGTTTCAGACTATGCTTCAGTCTGCAGTCAACAGTCCATTACAAGGAACATTACGCCTGATAAAGCTTTTAAGCCATAGCCTAATGGATGAAATTTATGCTGCAACCTTTAAGAAAGGGTTTCGAATCCATCATATGGAGGGGAATTGGGTACAATGAGTTCAGAAAAAAGCAATGACCCCACCTATTTAAAAAAAAAGGTAAATCGGAGAATGATCAAATTATGCAAACCAAGATGTTAATCTCTCCTGCAGTGTCCCCACAAGTCCATTAATGGAGCATGCGTGCATGATGCCGACCAAGCCACCATATTTAGCAGCATTTAAAACAGACGGTGATACACAATATCAAGTGTTAACTCTAATTTAGATATAACCACCCCAGATCTATTCTTCTGCTGCATTGTGTACCTGAACTCCACAGTATCGGATCCAGAGGGAAGCACAAGTTAAAGAGTTTTTTCCCCTTTGTCAGTGAAAAGGGAACTGGACAAAGTCCATGTTGTTCACTGGCAGCCCATGAAGCTATCCTGGCTAATGATAAAGTGAGCAGGATTATTACTCAGATTACTCAATTGACTATAAATCGACTTGGAGAAGTTGAAAACCGATCATGTAAATGACGGGTGTCACGGGGTGCGCGTGTGCGGTTTGCGAGTGCTTCGATCTGTCACCTGCATTGATCAAATAGCATCTGGAAGCAGAGGGGTGATTGGCGCTATACAGGAGCTCGTGACCTTCTCCCCAGAGAAGACGCTGTGGGATCTTTACTTCGCCTACAGCAGGGGTCTCAAACTCGTGGCGGCGCTGACGGCTTGGCCGGCGAACGGTACGGTTGACGGGGGGGTACGCCAAAGTCGGTACCCCCCGGACGGAGTTTGAGACCCCTGCCCTACAGGCTAAGGACCTCTGCTTCCTCAATACACTGAATATACTGAAATTGAAGAGAAGAGACTGAAATCTGTGCGATATTTCAGCTGGCCCAACAAAATGAGTGGTTTCAACCCGTCACACAAGCAGTGGCATGCCCTTTTTTTTCCGAACTGCAAATGAACCTTCTCTCTTAAATCTTGGCATGAGATCGACAGCACTAGATGGGAGACTGAGAGGGCTGAACACACAAAAAATAGGCCCCAGCCAAACTTGCTGATCGTGATAGTCACTCATTAACGTTTTAGGTTCATAAACAGACTCGGCCAGCTGAAGTCAGCTTGGATATTTCTCTTACAAACGGTCGAATAGTCATCATAGCAACACATTTTTAAGATCAAGTGTTGTGGTGCAGCCAAGTTGTTCAGGTAGTTGTGTGCTGATATTTAACCTAAGTGCTAATTCTTTCTACACAGGCATGTGTAGATCCTTCAAATCACGAAAGAATTGTAGCTGGCCGAGCAAACAAAGGAAGGAAAATGTCTACAGGAAGTGACGGCTCGCACAAGGGTGGCTCACCTCCAAAATGAAAAGAAAAAAAAAAAAAGTTATTCCACAGGAGGCTGATAAAAAAAAATAACTGCCGTTTCCCATTATTTCTCAGGTCAGATAAGACGCACCTAATTAATTATAGCACCATCCATTTGTAGGTGAATAACTAGGCATCGTGTGCAGTATTTTAACACCAACAATAAACATTAGCCGGCTCCGTGAGAGTTTGTGGAAAACTTTGAGACTGAGAAATTACTGGAGAAATTACAAAGGCTAATAACACCCGAAGTGATTGGTTAGTGTGGTGATTCTGACAATGTTTGGATTGATACAACGTGTGCCTCATGCATTACCAGGAAAACCTTCTCAGGCTTTATAGGAGTGGTTCCCATGATGCATCATGAGGTGCGTTATGGAAAACAAACAGATTCTTCTTATTTATTCCTAACTCGCACAAGATTATACTTCATTTTTTCAGTGCATTATATCTCATAGTGGACCACGGTATCCAAGTCAACTGAATAGCTTATATTTCTTCTTGAGACAATAGTTTTCCAATCAATGAATTTTTTATTCCTTTTTGGAAAACAATTTGTCTATGCTCTCATCCTCACTCTTTTCTACGGAACATTTTTCCCATACCAGGAACCCAATCATCTCTATCTCTTTATGAGAAACGGCACAATTTAAAAGTGAGAAAGGGTCTTAGAGAAAGTGCTGCTGACCCGCATGCAAATGCCCGTCTTGTGCCACGCTCAGAATGAATGAAATGTGGTGGCTGACAGTGGCGGCACCAGCTCTTCAATCAGTATCCCAGCCTCCAGTGAGCCTGGGGACCATTCACACCAAACAAAGTGACTGATGTGAAATGACAGGGGGCTTTCACAGAAGCCGACCCACCGTTTCAACCATTGTCCTTTACACGTACACACACGCTGGGCAACCCTACATTGCAGCTACCCTCACTAGGTAATCTTGTGCACTGCCATTGTTGTTTGGTTATAATGTCCTGATTCATTCATTCACTTCAGCTTTTAATTTCCTAAAACACATGTACAGAGTTTCCTTTTCCGAATAATCAACGTTTTTAACGGTCTTAATCAACCAAATACACATAGACTAAAAAACAAAGGCCTTGTCGTCATCGAAAAGGGCGTGGCCTCAAGCCTACATCTCCTTCTATAGGCTGTTGCACAATATGCTTAAATTAGGATCTTGATGTGGCACAGCTGGTGATAAGCAGCTTCCAGAGACGCAGTTAGGCCTCCTGCACAGGACAAACCGGTCTAAAAGTTGGATTTCCTAAACATTTTCGGAAAAGATGTGAGTCAGCATCACATGTCTGGAGTGAACACCAGTTAATTGCGAACTGACTTCGACCGAAAAAAGCTACAAGACAATTACAAGAATCACATTTTAAACCAACTAGAGAGTGTCACGTGATATGAGCCACCTTAATATGAATCACTCCACCCTGCAGAACAACGCCTTCCGCTCCGCTTCCACATCAAACTTTTTTTCCTTCCTTTCTCGTTGATTCTTTTGGTTTTTTTTGGGGGGGTGAATAGAATCATGCACTTCCATACCTCTCTTCTCCTGCTCTCTGCCCCGGGTCTGGTGATGAGCGCCGTGTCACCGCACACCACGGCCGCATCCTCCACGAACACGCAGTCCGGCAGCGACTCGTCGGCGGGCAGCTCCACCACCTCCAGCCCGAGCCTCGTCCCCAGGACCTCGACGTACTCTTCGTGCTCCCTCCTCGCCTCGGCCAGGTCCACCTCCGCCTGGCAGCTCCGCAGCGCTTCTTTGGCCAGCGACGCGGGGATTCCCCGAACGACGGCGTGGGTGTAATGACCGAAACCTGACATTAAACCAGCCATGTTTTCCTGGCGTTTTAATTCACACGCTCAAATCTGAAGAAAAAAAAAAAAGAAAATATATATGACTGCCAAAAAAAAAATTTTTTTTTTAAAAGACAACCCGGCGAATGAATGAGAGGAAGTTCTATCAGATAACCGGATGCTGCCTTGCTTATATGTTCCGTGCTAGTTTGTTGGGTTGTAATTCTTTATTTACAGCAGCCGGCTGCACACAGTGTTACTGCCCTGCTCCGCTTCTCCAGGCGAGGGACAGCGCGGCGGTGACGCGCACCGACCGTCACGTGTCAGCCCGCTGCGTGGAGCCCGCGGAGGCGCGTCAGCACAACAAGTGACCGTCACAAACGCACTGGATTTAGGGCTCCGTGCCTTCTCACAATCAATCAGCAGAGCAACGTCGCTTTATGAAATGTATTCAATTATTTATTCATTTAATATAACGTTTTCTTTTATAGCATTATTTATAGGAATACATCTCTTTTGATTATTTGTTGCTTTTCTTATATTAAAATAAACGGAAAATGTTTATTTTGGACAACTTGTTTGACAAAGCAAGCGATTTGAAGAATTACTGCGGTCAGAAATTGCGATCAGTAAGTTTTTCAGCCTCAAATCAACATTCAATCTAATATTCAATTGACAAATCGATGCAAAAATATCACTGTGTGAAAGAAGTGCAGTCCTATTAAACATGATTTCAGAACTTGGCTTATCAATCAAAAAACGTATGTAATCTAGCGGCAGCTGAATCCATAGGGATTATAAACATCCATAGAGATGTCTGTATTTTACCAATTTACATAACTTAAGAAAATTATGTTGTATCGTACAATTTAGGTGAAATTAATAAAAAAATATATTTGCTAAGGAAGAAGACAATATAATCCAATAGACGTACATTTATGGCAGATGTACATCTTATCTTTGCGTTGGTATTGTTGATGGCGCTGTGCAAAACATCTGCTTCTCATTTGATCTGCGCACCTTTAGAGGCTGGGATGGCACACAGCTCCCAACCATTCCCACATCTTCCGATAATGTGAAACAATTGACATTTTGGGGGGAAACTATATAACATTTTGGTTTGAATCTTGTTATTGAAGTACAGTCAGAGGCAACATATTAATATGCATGTTACCTTTTACTTTGCCTGCAAATACGTAAAACTGTTGGATGGAAAGAGTCTAATAAAGAAAAAAGATATTTGTGTCTGCTAAGGACATAACGGAAGAGGGAGACTGGTTTGCCAACTTGATTCCGTTTTCTTCAAATGTTTCTACTGTTACAAAATCAAAGTGTGAAAGAAACACTTTAAGGGTGCATCTCTCTTTTTGAACTTGAGAATTTGGAAACATCTGAAACTGCTTCACTCTTGGCAGACTTTTTGAAAAAAGTACACAAACGTTAAAGGAATAAGGATATTTTTTTAAAAGGAGGATCTCTGCAGCATGAGAAGTGTGTAGGGCAACAAGTGTGTGTGTGTGTGTGTGTGGGGGGGGGGGAGGAAGGGATGGGGGTTAATATTCCCTATGGTGCCATCTATGGAAGGCTCTGCGTCCGGCGAAACAGCCTGAATGGATGGAATGTTTCTCCAGACGTCCCAGAAGCACATTCTTCCACCGCAGGACCTCACTTTGTCTTTTCTTGTTCCAAATTCACTCAATTATCCCCGACTGCTCCAAACATTCCAGGAGCCCCACATTCCTTTTTCCACTCCAGCCAGGATCACCAACCACCACCACCCTCCACCCAACACTAACACCTGCCCCCACCCGGATTTTACATTCTTTTTTTTTTCCCATCACGGGTGGACGTTGCCCAATAAAAGACCCTCTTTTTCTCTTTTCTCTCTCCATGCTGAGGAATTTGGGTAACTTCAGCTGAAGGAAAGCCCTCATACTTATTTGAATCCGTCAGGGACATTTATGAACGCAATTAACACAGAAAGAAAAGTGACAACGCAAAAGTATCACTCGATGGAAGTGGCTGTGTTTTAAAGCCTTTCAATAGCAGCTTTAATTCCAATTCATCATGTTTTTTAGTGATCTTAGAAAATATTATGCTATTGAAGAGTCTCTCAGCTTGAGGAACGGAAGCAAAACAGAGGGAAATAAATGTCTAAATCTAAAATGGCTTTGGGACAGTGGAAAGGCATCAAGGAAAGAGCCTTGCAGTCAAGTCATAAATATAACAGGAAATAGATACTGCAGCTATGTAAGAAGGTAGGTTCTTATAAAAAAAGAAACCCAAAAGATCTTCAAAAAAAGTTTTTTTTAAATCACACTGGTTTGGGTCTTTTAGCAGATTTTTTAAAACATGAAATATCTCCGTCCTTATCCTTTTAGTACTATGTTGATACAAGACATATCTGAAAGAATTTCCCTATGATTTAATTGGACAGAAACAGCAAAGGAGTTATTCTCCAAAGAATAATAGGTGGCGATTACATTTGACAAAGAGGGGGTACCGCGCTATCTTCCTTTGCTGTCCCACATCTCATTTTAAAAAAGTTAGCTTCAACATTTTCTTCCAATGTTGAAGCTCAACAATAGATTTTGACTGCAAGACGTGCATATGTCATCACAAGAGGGATGGAAACGTATTCTCTAGATAATTAATAGGAAGATCAGTTGTTGGACCCCTCGCTCCTCTGTTTCACTTGTCAATGTGTAACTTGGCAAAGAGACCATGACGCTGCTTCATCGTTGTGCGAGTTGAGGATCAGATTAAATCCTAATAAACAGTTTGGCACCCAATAGCCACTGCCGTCGGTGTATGTGTGTGATTAGGCAAATACATTTGCCTTGACAGGAAGTAAAAGCGTAATGGCAGTGGCCTGTTATTAATACATCAATAAATTGAGCTGTGCAATAGCCCTCCTGAACCAATGCCAATTTGTTAATGTCAAACAGCCAAGACAAAATGGCCAAAGACATCATTCAAACCTGGACTGCGCCGTTTTCCTTTTGAACAATCAGAGCAAGTTACATAAATAAGTAAAATAAAATCGATGTTAACATGTGATTACAGAGTTCTGCCTCGTCAAATCTATCATTCATAAAAACCTATGTCATTATTTGAATCGTTGGCCACATCTGCGACCCCCCCGCTCACACGAGAAGGATCCATAACTCCTGCTGCTTCTTTTAGCTGACAGAGAAAGGAAGTCTAGAACATACTGCATACCAGTTATAACATTTATCCTGAATGCACTACACTGGAATGAGTTGTTTAAACCTTCCATCCGTCACATGAAGGGGAAGGCTCAGGGCCGTTTGCTTCAGACTCACAGAGAAACTATTCTGCTGTCACTTCGACTGTAAGGGCTCCGACAATGACTTTCCATTACAATGGAACACTCAATATCTCTCCAATTTTACTGAGCAGTGAGATAATGCCGGAGGTTTTGGAGCTGCTGGGATACCCCAGCTACACGGCCTCCAGCATAATCAGGTGATCATTGAAGGAAAGAGCCCCCCCTTCCTTATTTTGTGCGGTGTTTGTAGTATGGATGTATATGGCGGTCCTCTGAGAGCCATGGAGGAAACTGTTATTCCATGGCAATTGTGGCACAGAGACGTGTCCGGCTTTTGGAATGTTTCCTAAACTGAGTGGCGAATTAAGGAATGTATTAAAACACGCACTGACGCACAATGACAACACGGTTTCCTATCACGGAAACACGCGAGCGGATGCACACATGGCCCGAACAGACACATGTAGACTCGCATACACATGGACCATGGAAAGGCTTTAGGTCAACATTGCAGAGGACAATCAAACGAAACCTGTCACAAGACCTGCTGTTCAAACAGCTCTGCGACATTAAAGGGTTATCCCCCTAATTTCTTCATACTGTTCTTTCTTAAAGCAAGGAGACTTGTGACAGAATGTCAAGAATGATCAAAATCTACGCCAGGATATCCTGACTTTTAGGGCCTTGTTTGGGTAAAGCTCTAAAAATATTAGTTCCCTATTTACATTACATGTCGTTTAGCTGACGCTAAAGTATTTCATAAAATAAAGGGTGTTGTGGTAAGCTGAGGAGCCGCTGGTCTTTGCAACCAACAAGCTACAGTGCCCTTTGACCCCTCATAGTGCCCGCCTGTTGCCTCTACCAGCGGACTCCAGAAAAATGGTTGCCAGGTATTTATACAGAGCAGTAAAGGTGTGAAAGTTGTCCACACCTGTGGGAGTGGTCTCCTGGTGAGTTCAATGTAACTCGGATTTCAATGTACCAGTTGTTGTGCAAGTGTTACATGCATGCATTCCAGTTGATTACATTACATTAAATACAATCCTAATTGTACATTGATATTATTCTAATGATACAGTTTCAAAATTACAGTAGTCATTACTATTCTTGATTACATAGATCCAGAATCTTGGCTGTATTCTGGTGTACAACTTGCTATAGATAAGAGTACAATTTGAGTGCTCCAATTGAGAAGTGATCATTTCCCACAATGAAACAAATATTACGTTTCTGTTCAACAATTGCCGCCTGGTAAATTAATTTTAAAGTCCGTGGTAACAGTTTGCAATGCAGCTCTCTGTTAAGAATATTGACCATGTCTGTAAACCCAAACCGAGGTGGTGGAATCAATATCAGGTCTATTTTTTCAAACCGCACAAGCTGTTTTCCTGGGTTGAGTTGTCTCCACCAGAATGACTGCGACTGTTATTTAACGTGAATCATAATTTTGATGGTGTAGAATAAATGAAGAGCCCCCTAAAGGCTTCAGTTTGAGGGCATAACGCAGCTTGGATGGACGCGCCAAGCTGCAAACGTGTTCACAGACACGCCCCCTTTCAAAACAGCCACACCTCCAGGTAAAATACTCACACAGACGGATTAGACAACATCGATCTGTTCACATTGTAATCGCATGTTTATCGTATTAGAGGTGCGCACTAACACTTGATTGAAGAAAACCACGTGACACGCAACCTAATAATCCTGGAGATCACAGTCGGTTTGAAAATAGCCCGAGTGAAACCTCCGAATCGGATACGCAAAGTACCGCCAAAAAAAAGCCATCGCATCTGTTAAGAATTTGAGTTTTTATGAGTCATATTCATACAACGGGAGCATCGATGATGGCGCAGGCTTTTTTAAAGGGGGGAAAAAAGTGCATCACTAATCGGAGTCTCAACTACTATCCGCAGAATAAACAGGAAAGGTCCAAACTCACCGGAGGGGCTCTCCGGTCGTCTTGTTCAGCGCCGCCACGGTCTCGGCGGGTCGTCGCGTTAAAATCACACGAG